ACAATAAACCTGTTTAGTCTTATTTGCCTAGACTATGTACTTACTCACATATTTCCATCACAAATTATATCAATTTCTTTCAAACACACCATATTTTTCATTATTTCACCCAAGAAAGGAAATAGAGCCATGAAACATAAGGGGGGTTTACAGAATGTTAAAGTATATCAGAAAAATACTATTAATAAATAGAACAATAAATGAACAAGAATTAAGAAAACAGGAATAACGATTGACATTGCATGTACATTTTTGAAGATCAAAGGCAATAAAGCCACTGGGACGCATGGGGGTTACTCAGTGTTAGAGAATATGAGAAAAACTACTATTAAGAAGAGAGGACAATGAAAGAACATGAGTTTAGAATACAGAAAATAACGATTGAGATTGCATTTACGTTTTTGAAAATCAAAGGCAATAAAGCCACTACGACGCAAGGGGTTACTGAATGTTAGAGAACATAAAAAAACTACAATTAAGGAGAGAAGATAATAAAAGAACAATAAATAAGAAGACAAGGTATCGATAGGCATTGCATTTACATTTTTGAAGATCAAGTTAACTGGGGACCAAGAAGCCAGGATAGACTTCTACTAGAAAGAAGTGCCACACACACACACAGACATACACACATACACACAGACAAAGACACACACACACACATTCGCACACACACACACACACACATATATATATATATATATATATATAATGGAAATAAGAAAGGCAAGACAAGCTTTACAGGTCATGTTTTAAAAAAACAGCCGACCTGTTTCGCCCTCACTCAACAAAGCTGGAATCGAGGGGATAAATGTTACAATATAATAAATAAAATAGGAAATACATGTAATGTATCAAAGGCGGAACAATCAGATTGATAGAACGTCAAGCCCTGTCAGGCATCCACTCTGTTTACAGAGGGAAGGCTGTCTGGTCCTGACACAGATCGTTTCTAATGCCTTCAAATCTAAGAAAGAATGAGCAAGACTAATAATAGTAAAAGAGTCAATGCTAAAACTGTATAAAAGTTTTTCGTAACACCGTGATTCCACACCTGATTAGACGTTTCAAAAAGGTTTTCCTTTTTGACGTTGAAACAAAATGTACAATTTTGTAGTGGATATGTGCATGTACTAATGTAACACTGCATAATATATATATATATATATATATATATATATATATATATATATATATATATATATGTACGTATGATAAATGTGAATTTCAGTGTGTCACTGCGTCACACGTTTTTCAGTTTTACTCCTAGAGATCGTAGGCCAACATATCATACCATTTTGAAGAAGAAGGGAAGAATAAACCATTAACTATCCTTCGGAGATATCATTTGATTTTGGGAAATACCTGTTTTATGTTAGACCTGGCCATGATAAGAGTTTGTTACCGGAATGGATAATTGGATACAGAGTACGAATACGTCCAGTTAACCACCCATTTGACGCTGGCGAAAATCTCATTGATAAAGTCCAGGTGACATTCAGTTAAGATAGAGATTAAGGACCACCCTACGAGTCGTAGAGGTCTGGTGTCGGGAAGAGAAAGAAAAGAAAAAAAAAGATATTTTTTTCCCTTTGAGCGATAATGGTAAACATGAGAAGGAGGGGAGGCCTTTTGACGCCTCTGAGGGGATTGGTGTGATATACCACTGTGAGAGAGAGGGAAACCTGTTGACGCCCTCTGAGGGGATTGGTGTGAGATATCAATATGAGAAAGGAAGAATTTGGGAGGACTATTCCCTTAAAGCAGAAAGAAATGGACTTCCAAAAATGGAAAGTAATAAATTTTCCTGTCCGAAAACAAAGAAAATCCTTATTGTGGATTTAGAATTATCGAGGAACCCCAAACCACGACAAGCCCACACCCGGATTTGGTCGGCGTCCATATAAACAGAGTCGCGGCGAGTAGAGTTAGAGAGTTCAACAGAGTTCCGAGGAGACGCAGACGCAGACAGAGTTGAGCTGTGAGCTCTGAGACCAGCCTCGCAGGAAGCTGACTGAAGATCCACGCATCCCGACTTCGACTTCTAACCAAGAACAATTTATTTTTGTAGAACGACTTAGACTCACACCAAAAAACAAGTTATACGAATATCACCTGAAGATACAAAAAAAAAAACAGTTATCGAAAAACAACTTAAGATATTAAGACTCGCCTAACAAAGGCAAAGTGTCACGTATCCATATTAGCGGGTTGGGAGAAAGAAGCAGTCCTGTATTCAGCAACCAGATATAAAAATATTTGTTATTCTTTTTTAACACATTTGAACTTTTCGAGTTGTTACTTTATTTTCTTTTACATATACTTGTGTGGTGTTACCTTTGCTCAGACGTGGCTTGCATTGCGGCCCGGCGATTGATTGATTTCGTCTACCTAAGATCAAATCACAACGTGGGTAGGTTAGACTAGAAATCAAGGCAGTTACTTCGGTAACCAGACGTTGGAGGCGAGCTGGGAACGACAAAGCTTATACCGAATCTAACCAGATTCCCATCCGAATCAGCAAAGGGTTAGAACGTCACATTTGGCGCCGTGACCAATACCAAGTCATATTGTTCGTCTCGGGATAGCACGGGTGCATGCTGAAATATTGTGTTAGCCCAGAATGCAGATTCTGTGATAAATATCCAAATACAATTGATCATCTTGTTCAGTCTGCATGATATTGGCACCCACTGAATATAGAACCCGGTATGACAGTCTGGGCCAATAGCTGAACTGGAAAATCTGCAACTTCTACGGGAAGGAAACTGAAAGTCATTGGTATGAACACCACGCATGCCCAGTCACGGAGATAGAACCTGTTACAATTCTATGGGACTAAACAATACAGACAGACATAATCAAAGCTAACCGCCCAGATATTGTTATTAGAGACCGAAAACAAAAAATTGCCTCCTTATTGATATGGCAGTCCCTGCAGACTGCAATGTATCTTTGAACATCTTCAAAAAGCTATCAAATACAAGGATCTTGAAATCGAAATCAGAAAAATGTGGCACATGGGAACATTAACAATACCTGTTGTAGTTGGAGCCCTCGGATTGGTTGGAAATTATTCCAGTAAACTCATTGAAGGGATTCCTGGAATTCCATGCCTTAAAGCAGTACAAAAAATTGTACTCACAAGTACAGCCCACACCTTACGAAGTGTTTTATCTATATAAAACATGTGCAATATTTTTTTCAAAACTCCACAGTGGAAAATATCATGATGCCATTTTTAATCTTAGGTCTCTTGTTGGAACCCGGAAAAATGAGTATTCGCCAGAAATCAAAAGAAATAAAATAATAGGAATTACCAGAATGTGGGTTGTTCAAGCCAATCTTATCCCAGTTATATTTGTGAGGTTGGAATCTAAATGTCCTAAATTGAGAAAATTCAATAATGCATAGCATCCCATCGTTTCAGAAGTCCGCGTTGCCTGGAGTTGCAAATGCCTGAAAGCAATGCGCAATTTTTTTTCAGAACTTTCAAAGATGCCATTTTTAGTTCATTTTTTACAATAATTCTTTACATAGATACACAATGGGAATTTTTATTTTGTTAAAACTATTTTGGAATATTTATCCCCTCATCGATTTTAATAATAATAATAATAATAATAATAATAATAATAATAATAATAATAAGAAGAAGAAGAAGACGATGAAGAAGATAGAAGAAAACAAGCTTTAGAAAATACACCGAACTCTGGATTGAAGTTGCCAGGATGTAGGACATTTAGGCCCTTATTGTCCTTGGGGCGTAGGTTTCTATGCCACCAAACTTGAAGTTCTACATTAAGAAAATCAGAATAAAATCTAATATCCTATCGCTTCAGCACATATACTAAAATATTATGTTAGCCCAAAATGCAGATTCTGCGATAAATATCCAGAAACAATTGATCATCTTGTATCAGATTGCACGATATTGACACCCACTGAATATAAGACCCGGCATGACAGAGTGGGCCAATATCTTCACTGGAAAGTTTGCAACTTCTACGGGAAGAAAACTGAAAGAAAATGGCATGAACACCACCCAGACCCGGTTACGAAGATAGGACCTGTTACAATTCTATGGGACTACCCAATACACACTGACAGAACAATCAAAGCCGACCGCCCAGATACTGTTAAAAAAGACCACAAACAAAAACGGTGCCTCCTTATTGATATGGCAGTCGCTGCTGACTACAATGTATCTTTAAAGATATTCAAAAACCTGTCAAAATACAAGGACCTTGAAATAGAAATCTCAAAAATGTGGCACATGGGAACATCAACAATCCCTGTTGTAGTTGGAGCCCTAGGATTGGTTGGAAAAGATTCCAGTAGACTAATTGAAGAGATTCCTGGAAGTCCATGACTCAAAGAGATAAAAAAAAATTGTTCTCACAAGTACAGAGGGCTTTATCCATGTAAAATAATTTTTTTTTTCAGTGGAAAGTGTCATGATGCCATTTCTAACCTTAGGTCTCTGGGCGGGACCCGGAAAAAATGTGTACACGCCAGAAATCAAAGGAAATATAAATAATAATAGCAATATTCAGGAAATTGCTACTGTAATATGAACTGAAATACTTCAGTAGACATTACTGCATGGAATGGAACGGCCAGAATTCTGAGAAGCCATTTGTTGATATTGAGCAGTGAAGAAAAGAAAGGAACAACGGCCATTAGCTAAGCCACTGTTCTGATGGTTAAATTATTACATAAAATCTTCTTGAGGTGATAAGAATTTCAATTCTTCGGTTTTCCACTTCTCTCTATATTTTTTTTTTAACAAGCCTCTTTAGAATTCTTCCAACGGGCCGATAATATTGAGTTTGATGTCTCCGGACATGATCGAAGTGCTTGGAAGAGTCTTACAAAATATCCCGAATAGAAATTCGATGAAGATTTAAAAGCATCAAAATTAGAGCATTAATAAAACCGGCTTGTTTTCTGTAGGATATTGAAAGCACTTGTCAGCAGAGGAATGGCGTGAAAATTTAATGACGAAAAAATCCTTTCCTTATAATATTAATACCAAAAATGGTAAGACAATTTTTATGAGTGAAAATGCAGTGTAACCCGGATATAAGAGACCCGGATATAAGAGACCCGGATATAAGAGACACGGATATAAGAGACCCGGATATAAGAGAAAACCGGATATAAGAGAGCTTTTCTCTGGTCCCAAAGTGTTCCATACTTACCTAAACAAAATAGACTAAACCCGGATATAAGAGAAACCCGGATATAAGAGACTTCTACTCCGGTCCCGACAACTCTCTTACATCCGGGTTACACTGTATAATTCGTAAGTATCTGTTATAAGATTTCTTTTTATTCTTACTAGATTCGAATACTAAACTTTTCGCTACTATTACCTTTTAGTTTACGTTATCTATCTATCTATCTATCTATCTATCTATCTAGTCTGTCTTTTCGTATGTATGTATGTATCTAGCTATCTAGCTGGTCATCACTATATGTCTGTTAATGTCTATCTATCTATCTATCTATCTATCTATCTATCTATCTATCATGTCTGTCTTTTAGTATGTAGGCATGTATGTATCTATGTTAATAAACACAGTTACGCTTTTCATATCTATCTATCTATCTATCTATCTATCTATCTATCTATCTCTAGTTTCTCTTTTCGTATGTATGTATCTATGTTAATATATCTTAATAATCTATCTATCTATCTCTTAGTTTCTGTCCTTTAATATCTATCTTGTCTGTCTTTTCGTTTGTATGTATGTATGTATGTATGAATCTATTCTATCTATTTATCTGTTTATTTTCTTGTCAGTCTTTTCATCTATCTATCTATCTATCTATCTATCTATCTATCTATCTATCTATCCAGATATCGCATGTAAATATCAAAAGGTTAAAACCAAATAGCGGAATCGGCTGATTTTCTATCTTTTTATGTGTGTATCGAGCACTTTTTAATACTACTGTTTCTTGGCCTAATTCAACTCTGACCACTAACTTTCTTATTATTACACGCACACACGCATACACCCCCCACCCCCTATATATATATATATATATATATATATATATATATATATATATATATATATATATTTGCCTATCTTTGCCTTTCTTTTTAGTATCTATTTCAGTTCAAATCTGACTGTAGGGATATTTTCTCCCCCACTATCCGCCATTCTTATCTCTTTTTCTACTGACTTCCCATCATCCATCTCTACTCATTGACCCTTCCTCTCTCTCTCTCTCTCTCTCTCTCTCTCTGTTTCTGTTTATTTACAACCCCATCAAAAGCAGCTGCACTCCAGAGTTCTCTCTCTCTTCTCTCTCTCGTTCTCTCTTCGTCATAATAATAATAATAATAATAATAATAATAATAAATGAAACCAAACGCACTAGCAGAAAGCAATGGTGGACAGTAAGGCGAATGGTTGGGTCGAGAGGCCAACAAGTCTGTCGGGTGGACTTTGGGATGTTTGGGCTACTGGCTGTCTACAGATCAAAGGGTAAATGGACTGACAAGCCGTACAGGAAATTGGCTTACCCTCGTCAGGCTACACCCCTTCACATACCATATCATGGCTTTGTCACGTCTGCCCCCACTGGTTTTTACGCGCATGCGTAGTCAGGCGTTTGTACTTGAAATAGTTGTTGCGTGTGTTTTCGAATGCGCGTGCGTTGATATATGTGTGCATCTTCTTGCGTGGGTCGGTTTCTATATCCGTTTGCTTCTATGTTTGAGTGTGTCCCCGCGTGTGTCTGCCCAATTATGTTTTCACACTGTTAGTAAGTATTTAGAAAAGTAACTAGAAAAGAATAGCTTAAAATTTTGTGTAGCGCCAAAATTTTAATAATAATAATATATATATATATATATATATATATATATATATATATATATATATATTATGAAATGGACAAAGTCCGACAATTATTTTAAGACATTTTTATGTTTATACATTCTTTTTATAGATACAAATATTTAAGTAAATGCTTTGCTTATAATAAAAAGTGTTAAACAACATTCACCGGCCTGAATGTTCGGTAAATTTTCACAGAAAATATTCGTCTTCCAACAGGATTCGAGCCTGTTTCCTATACGGAACCGTCATTTAGCTTGACGTGCCTTTAACCGATTAGGCCACAGAGGAACGTTCGGTTAGCAAGGTCAATCGGTTACTGAATATTTGTATCTATAAAAAGGATGTATAAACATAATATATATATATATATATATATATATATATATATATATATATATATACACAGACAGTGGGGGGAAATAAATATTCGTACACTTGAAAAATTGTATTTTTATAAATGTAAAAGCCTTAAATAAAACAAATCTCGGCACATTTTAAATATAAAGACACATACTATTAAAAAATAATAATAAACTCAATTAATTCTTATTCTAACAGAAATTAATGCATTTTTTTTATTCTAACAGGTGAAAAAAGTATTCGTGCAAATCAATTATTAGAATAAAATAATCAATTAATTATGAAAAAAGTATATTCTAGAATGTTCCAGTAATGTTATCAGTAATTATAGTTAACGCTATTAGCCATTATCAGATCATTCTGCAATTTCTAGTCTTACGAGAATGTTCTAATAATACCTAAAGGTAAACAATTAACTATTTCACAAAAAACAACACATTTTGTCTTTTTGGAAAGATGGGAACAGTTACAGAACGATTTCTAACAACCTGAATATTCTTTTTACTACAATTGCTTGGTTCATTGCAAGGTTCAAAACTCGTAACAGCGTCGAAAACTAAAGACGAACAGGTGCTCCGAGGAATATTTATCTAAGATCAGCAAGGATATTCGGACGCCAGATCCAACAAAATCCACAGGTTACTCGAGAAGAGCTGCAGGAACATCTACGTGTATTAGGGATTAAAGTAACCAAGCGTACAATAAGTAATGAACTACACAAAAACAGTCTGAAATCACGCATCACAAGGAAGACCTCACTCATCTGAAAACGACACAGAGATGCTAGGCTAAAATTCGTTAGAGAGCATAGGGATAAAGAATATTAGTTTTGGGGAAAAATGTACTATGGACAGATGAAACTAAAATAGAGTTGTTTGGTCATAATTATCGAAATCATGTGTGGGGGAAGGACGGTGAAGCCTACTTACCAAAGAACACGTTGCCAACTGTAAAGTTTGGTGGCGGCAGTATCATGATCTGGGGGTGTTTTTCTGCAAAAGGTGTTGGCAGAATATCAATAATAGATGGCAAGATGAATGCCGAAAGCCACCAGAAAACCCTGCAAGACAATTTAATGCGTTCTGTTGAGAGACTTCGGCTACCTCCTGATTGTTTATTCCAACTGGATAATGATCCTAAGCATACCGCTAGATCTACAAGGAAATGGTTAGCTGAAAGTAACGTTGATGTCTTGCAATGGCCAAGTCAGTCCCCAGACTTGAACCCAATCGAGAATTTATGGCGATATTTGAAAATTCAAATTGGGAAAAGAGCACCAACAAATATCAAGAATTTGAAGACAATATGCCAAGAAGAATGGGACAAAATACCACTCAATGTGTGCAAATCATTAGTTGAGACGTACAGGAATAGACTGGTAGCTGTTGAACTCAATAAAAGATATTTCACAAAGTATTAAATTAAGTTAATATGCTTTTTTTGTTTTTTACGAATACTTTTTTCATCAGTTAAAATGAAAAAAAAAATGCATTAATCTCTGTTAGAATAAGAATTAATTAAGTTTAATACTAATTTTAATAAAATGTATCTTTACACAAAAATATGTATCAAAATTTGTTTTAGTTAAGGCTTCCCCCACTGTATATATATATATATATATATATATATATATATATATATATTACACCCAAAAACATCTTATGCATGTATGAAGATATGTACGTATGTAAGTGTGTTGGACAGTATGATTTATCCCATTGGGTGCTCTGGATTACCCACAATCTATAAATCTATAACTCCAACTAATTTACATTAATTTAATTTCCCCACCTCCCTATCGCTTATAATAATATTGGACACCTGTAGTACAAAAACTGATGAGCAACAAATATAGGGCGGAACGCCCCCCCCACGGCTTTTCCAGTGCCTTAATCGTTTCAGCCACAGAGGATCGTTCCGTTAGCAAGGTCGATTTTACTGTCTTTAAACTATAATCTTCCATGACGGTTAAGGCACGTCAGGCCATATGACGTTTCCGTATAGGGTACAGGTTCGATTCCTGTCGGAGGACGAATATGTTCCATGAAAATTTCTCGGACATTCAGGCCGGTAAATGTTATTAATACTGTTTATGATAAAACAGAGCATTTACTTAAATATTTGTATCTATAAAAAGAATGTATAAACATAAAAAATGTCTTAAAATAATTGTCAGGCTTTGTCCATTTCATAAAAACTATTCACTGTGAATCCGAGAAAAACACATTCGGGGTTTTATATAAGAAACTCCACGTAAGAACTGATATTAAATTACAAACAACAAAGTTTCTGGCCATAAATAAACTCCAACCCCAGACCGCTGCGTCCGGGGTAAGATATATTACACCCCCACCCATTTGCTAACCCAAATCCATTCTCATTAACAAGGCATCTACCAGAAGAAGGCTGATATTGACAATAAATTTAAAATAATGCTCCGAGATAGATACTTAGGGGCTGATGATAGCCACAAACAGAACGGCTTAAAATAGACTATCGCTATGTTGAGGTAATTTTTTTTGTTCTGTAAAAATAGATCTGCTCTGTTAAAATAAAAGCATCGGGTTCTCTTTGGGTCAGTTTTAATAATTACTATTACTAGGATCCACCCAGTTTATATACCAACGGATCAATTATCTGTACTATATATATATATATATATATATATATATATATATGTGGTTTGGTGAACTTGC